CTCTCTCCTCTCTCTCTCTCTCTCTCCTCTCTCTCTCTCTCTCTCTCTCTCTCTCTCTCTCTCTCTCTCTCATAAAAATAGGCTACTGAAGAAAAGGAGGAAATGGAGGAATTGCAGGCCTACAACCGGCGCCTTCTCCATAACATCTTGCCAAAAGATGTAGCGGCCCACTTCCTTGCACAGGAGCGACGCAACGATGAACTCTATTACCAGTCATGCGAGTGCGTAGCTGTCATGTTTGCCTCCATCAGCAACTTCTCAGAATTCTACGTGGAGCTTGAGGCTAACAATGAAGGGGTGGAATGCCTGAGGCTCCTCAACGAAATCATTGCAGACTTTGATGAGGTAAGTTAAAGGGAAAGCAGTACGGATTTCGGTTGGTCTGTCTCTCACGTAGGAGATAAACCCTTGGGGTGACCTACACAACACATCTCAAACACCACTTCTGTGCTGGATTCATTTCATCCAGGGGTCATTTCGTAGAAAAAGAGGTGCAGGGGCTCATTAGCATAACTTATTAGCATAACTCATTTGCATATGCCACACCCCCTGACATCACCGGATGTGTGTCAGAAGGCAACACCCACCGCTCAGGCTCCACTGGACTCTTTTGGATTGCTAGCTATTGGGGGGGGGACGTGCAGATCTGTCCTCACAGAGGAGGGAGAGCTTGTACCTGAATAAAACTTGGTCTTAAAGGTGCCACAGGACTGTTTTGGACTGGGGGGCCGGGGGGAGCTCTGCAACTTACCTGGCTATTTAATGCTCTGACTGAGGGCTGCTGGGAGCAGGGGGTGGTGCTTGTTGCATGTGCCCACCCACTGGGCTCTTTACTGCTAGAGCTCCACTCCTGTGGGCTCCTGCAGGAAATGACTCCTGATTTCATCAGTTAGAATTCCACTTATTCTCTTTATCAGTTCTGCTCCACTATAAACTCATCCAAAGTTACTGTTACACTCTTATCATGCATTACCATAATAAAGAGACTGTTTACCCAAGGTTGTTTCTGGGATCCAAAAAGCTGTTTTGAAGGCATGGATGCCATGGAAAAGGGTTGCGAGGGAAGAAACATGCCAACTCCCTAGCCCAGTTACCTATCATATGACTGCCTATGTTCCCTCTAAGCTGTGGAGTCTTGTGAGCAAAAATTCTACTTTGTGAGCTACTGGCATTAAAGTTGTGACCGAGCGATTTGGCTCCTGCATAAAGTAGTTTGCTCTGGAACCATCCTTCCTGAGCAAAGACAGAAATCTGTGAGCTGGAGGCTAAAAAACTGTGAGCTAGCTCACACTAACTCATCTTAGAGGGAACACTGATGACCCCAGTGCTGACTAGAACTAGGTACAAATACCGATACAACTGCGTACCAATAACTTGTGGAAAGAAATAACCTGTGAAAAATGAATTGCGGATTTGTATAATTTGGGGTTTATAATTTATGTATTTATATTTGTAATACTTATTGTACACTTTCAATATAATTCTTTTGCATATGACAGCGACTTCCCCAGTTGGTACTCATGCTAGTTTCAGTCCTAACATGAGGGAATGTTCTCTTGCAGTTTTGCTAAAAACCCTTGCTTTACTGTCTCTGCATAAGATCTAACTTTGCTTTCCTCAGCGTTCTGAAGAGGCATGAATTTGTGGAAAGCCAAATAGAACCAAGATCTCAGGTTCCTCACCATCCTGTCTCTGCAGGATCAAAATACACCGTGCACACACATTAAAAAAAATCTCTCTATTAGGAGAGCCATGCAGCCTGCAGGCGACAGTGTGTTATATTCTCTGGGTCTTGAGTGGGTCATTCACCCAGCAAATTGACTTACTGCACAAAGCCTTTTCAGTAGGTTTGTTCCCTTTTTCACCTGTACAGATCATAAGTGAAGACCAATTTAGGCAGCTGGAAAAGATCAAGACGATCGGCAGCACATACATGGCTGCTTCGGGCCTTAATGATTCCACCTATGACAAAGTGGGTAAAACGCACATCAAGGCCCTGGCTGACTTTGCAATGAGGTTAATGGACCAAATGAAATACATCAATGAACATTCATTCAACAACTTCAAGATGAAGATAGGTAAATACCCTCGTTCTGGTTTTCGTTCCTGGGATTGGTTCCTCTGTGGCCATCCCATATGCTTAAAAGTGAAAATGTTTATAGTTAGCTGTCACCAAATCAGTGGTGCTCTCTCAGTCAGATGAAAAACAGTAGTTAATTCTGGACCCAGTCACACGCAGAATTAGCCGCGCGATAGGGACGAATGCCGGGCGGATTTTAAGGATGCGATCACACAAAAACATCTGGCAAGTGTCCCGCACCCATCGGCAACCCGTATCACCCAGCTGAAGAAGCAGAGTTAAAAGATACCAAGGGAAGTGCACTATTTTCCAGAAAACACAGGGCGCGGGCGGGCGGGCGTCGAATCACGGAAGCGCTGGTATCCCGTCGCATCCGGTGGTATGCACGCAAACGCGGAACTGCGCATGCGCACCAACACGTACTGCTGCACCTCGCCCTTCTTTGCCATGCTTCACCATCAACATGTGATCACAGCTGAGGGCATGTGCACAGAACCTTGGGGGAAACGTCTGATCACGATACCCCACTTCATTTTGCTCCGGAGCAAAAAGCCTCACTTCGCCCCCCGATTATCTCGCGTGTGTGACCAGGACCTGTTTGTTTTTTTTAAATCTGCATTTAGTTGGCATTGTCAGTGTGTGTGTGTGTGTGTGTGTGTGTGTGTGTGTGTGTGTGGAGAGCTGATTCAATTATATAAATTTCCCAGTTGGGAGTATCAGTTTAGGTACACTGAGAGTGGAAAGAGTAAAGGCCAATCAAGAGACAAAGCTCAACATTCTGTTTACCACAGTATTTGACAACAGCTATTAGTCTTCTGTGCTGTTGGAAACCTGTCAAGCTATTTTAAAGGTAAAGGTTCCCTTGCTCGAAAGCCAGTTGAATCCGACTCTAGGGATGCGGTGCTCATCTCCGTTTCAAAGCCGAAGAGCCAGCGCTGTCCAAAGACGTTTCCGTGGTCATGTGGCCAGCATGACTAAACACCAAGGCGCAGGGAACGCTGTTCCCTTCCCACCGAAGTCTTAACCACTTGAGCCACCGCAGCTCCTTATACATTTAATGGTGGGTACACAATTACATGTATGTTATTTCTGGTTAATAAATAAAGGTCAATGCAGAGTTCTAAAACGCAGTTACACAGCGTGTGGGGGGGATTGATATTCAAACTTAAGTATCACAAATTTCAAAGTCTAGGCAAGTTGCCATTTCTGGAGTTCTTAGCTTTCTGCACATAATCTCTACAATTTACAACAACAAAAAAGTACAAAACGTCAGAACAGTTTAGCTCTGTTTAGAAAAGGAGAGGGGTTCTGTCCAGCAGGTTACCATTTTAGCCCTTCTTTGTTCGTTTAGCTTTAGCGATATTTTCCTGGCGTTTTTTGTTTCTTCTTTTGCTCTCGCTCCCTGACTTCAATCATTGCCGTCAGTTTCCATGACAGTACTGCACTTGCTAAGAACAAGGGGGGGAGAGCCAGGGTCACTATGGATCCTCTGCAGCCCATTCCACAATGTACTCAGCCCAGGATTTGATGTCACAAAGAAGGGGGGGGGCAGCAGTATAACTAAGATACAGACTACACAAATACTGCAAGAAGTGCATGCAATTAACAACAATTGTAAGAATCAGTTGACTCTTGTTGATGAACTTCAAGCTGTTTTAATCTTTCTGTTTTTCAACAGACGAACTTCCCCGGAGTTTTACTGCTCGTTTCGACACACTCTTTCAATTTTGCATCCTTACAATATCTGACATCAGACTCTCTCCAATTCCACGTAACTTCAAGAGCTCTTGACAAAGTACTTTTACAAACAGACAGCAACTTGCTGTCCATTTGTAAAAGTACTTTGTCAAGAGCTCTTGAAGTTACGTAGAATTGGAGAGAGTCCGATGTCAGATATTGTAAGGATGCAAAATTGAACCGTTACGTTGAGAAAGAATGTGTCGAAACGAGCGGTAAAACTCCGGGGAAGTTCGTCTGTTGAAAAACAGAAAGATTAAAACAGCTTGAAGTTCATCAACAAGAGTCAACTGATTCTTACAATTGTTGTTAATTGCATGCACTTCTTGCAGTATTTGTGTAGTCAGGATTTGATGTTGTCAAGCATCTTTTCTGCCACCGAGTAGGGGAAAATCCTAGGAGACTAAGAAGCTCCAGTTTAACACCACGGGACTGTACACAGTTGTAATGGAAAGCAGCCCACCAGAAGTAGAAAGAGGAGGATGGGGGACTTGCCTACGTCACTTTTGGTAGAATCTTCTCTCCCCCTCCAGTTTGCAGAAGCATGGAGAAAATGTCTCAATCCACATGATGAACCCGATCACTTTAACACTATTTGATTAATGGGGGGAAATGCTTAAGAGCTTTTAGACTCAAGGCCAAAAAGGCGGGATACAGAAGCGAAGAAGGGGAGGGGGCGGGAAATATAGATTCATGGAGTTTGTTAAATATGAATTGTTGCATATCCTTCATGGAAGTTTTGAAGCTGTTTGACAACTCAGGTGGGCACCAGGTTGCCCAAAAACTGGCATGCATCCAGCGAGGCAGCATTGTGCGATCGATGCATCTTGTTTTAAAAAGAACTCCCGCCCACAGAGCTAAATTTGAAAAAGTGATGGATCATTTAAAAAGTCAAATAAAACCCATAGGTATGTCACAATCCGGCCAAAGCTAAACCCTTTTACTTTCGTAGGGGATATTTTAGGAAATGCCTGTCCCTTTGAAACAAAAAGGACTTAAAGATGTTCAGCTTTGGCTAGTCCATGCCCTTAGTGGTTCTCATTTCGAAGACTAGACATCAAGATCTTTCTTGAAGGTATGTGAGGGAGAGTTTCACAAGAACAGTATAGAAAAGGAACAGATCGAATCACTGTAAATATGCCTGCCTTAGATGCATGAATGTTTCATTAATAGCACGCACCCAAATATGGAAATTCAGTTAAAACATCTGCGACCTGCTTCTTTGGTCAAATAGTTTTAAGTGGTAAATAAGCTGACCATCCCTGATATAGCTTCAGGCAGTTTTTGCCTTTGGGGAGACCAAATTGTTGCAGAAGCAGTTTATGCATCCATGTCTTACTGTTCTTACTGTTTTCTTTTCTTCTCACATTAGGGCTTAATATTGGCCCAGTGGTAGCTGGGGTCATAGGAGCACGCAAGCCCCAGTATGATATTTGGGGGAACACTGTGAATGTAGCCAGTCGAATGGACAGTACAGGAGTACCCGAAAGGATTCAGGTGAGTCTTCCTGATCCCTTTCCTTCTCCCTCCTTCCTCAAACTCTTTTTTATGAATATGTACACTGCAAAAATACAACTCGAAAAGTAGCTTCTTCAGGTAGGTCTGCCCTCCGCCCAACAGCTATGGTCCAGGTGTGAAAAGTCACTTGGGGGGGGGGGGGACGAAAAGGAATCCCTTGTTGTAGATGGTGAAGGGAAAACCATACTGCAATCTGGTGGCGATGGGAGCAGGAATATGGGAGCCGGAATATGGTTTGAGCGTATTGCATTGGGCTGAAGTTGCTGTTGAATGAACTTTGAAGTGGTTTCATGTAAAACCTGACTACCACAGAAGCAAACATAAGAGACCCTGAACTGTGGTACATTAAAAAGAGGCCGGTTGTACCAATGCACAGGCTACCTTTTAGTGAGAGGCATATTCTAGAAGTGATGGGATCAAGTATTGCCGAAATATATTTTATTGTAGAATGTGAAACTTCTCCCTACTGGCATGTAGAAGGAGCTGCTGTTGATCCCAAAGGAGCCTCTGCCGTCACATTCTACACCACTAGGACATGGCAAGTGGTTATGACAGCCTATTTTGTAAACGTTTGGTAATGGGCACGTGTTTCAGCATTACACACATCTTCCTAACAAAATAGGCACTTCTCATGCTCATAGGGTTGCCAGGTCCCCCCTGGGGGGGGGACCCCGCTCGATCACCCTGTTACCCGCCAGCCCGGATCAGGCCACCGGGGGGAACCCTACCCCCAAAATGCCGGCATCGCAGCAATGTCACCATGCCAGGCACGTTGCGGGAGGGACGCTCTATGATTCGAGGGAGAACTCTGTGGTTTTCCCTCGAATCATAGCTGCCCCGCCCCCAATGTGCCTGATGCGATGATGGTGTTATCATGGCGCGCAGAGTGCACGCACCAGAAGACTCCCAATGAGGGCAGGAACTCCTCCACTGCAGCCCAGGTAGGAACTTGGCAACCCTACATGCTCACCTAGGGAAGGCAACCTGTTCCCACACTATTGGCTCTTCTGAAATGTGGGTCCTTCACCCTTACATGGCAGACTGGACCAACAACAAAAACTGCCTGACTGAACTCAAAGAGGAAAGGAGGGAAATATTGAGTAAAAAAGCTGAAAAATAAGAAAAAGGCTGGCAGTGCAAGCTCACTGAGAGTTCTCAGTCTGCTTACCCAAATCGGTCTACACATGTCAGGCAGTGTTCCCTCTAAGCTGAGTCAGTGTGAGCTGGCTCACAGTTTTTTAGCCTCCAGCTCACACATTTTTGTCTTAGCTCAGGAAGGATGGCCCAAGAGCCAACTGATTTATGCAGTAGCCAGATCACTTGCTCACAACTTTAATGCCAGTAGCTCACCAAGTCGGATTTTTTGCTCACAAGACTCCACAGCTTAGAGGGAACATTGATGTCAGGGCTAAAGCATTCAAAGGTGCGTCCCATTGCTAGTATGGAACAAACACATCTATTTTGGATACTTTAATATACTTGAGATATAGCCTGTGTATACCAAGGTCCACATGTATTTTGGATACTTTAATATACTTGAGATATAGCCTGTGTATACCAAGGTCCAGATTCAGATCTTGAAAGAATGAGGAGGAAAAGACTCTTAAGCGGCATTTTTATTTTATAAACAGAAACAAATTAATCTATGCAAAAAGCAGCAATAAAAATTACAGAAAGGAAAAAGTGATGCTGTAAATGACAAACAAAAAAACCATTTCCCTAGAAAAAGCTGCCTACGTACTGGGGGATAAAACTTTTAAGGGGGGGGGGGAATGAGACACACGGTCCTGCTTTTGGGGGGAAAGAGGGGGGTGTCCTCAGTGGCGACCAAGAAGCGTCAGGTGATGAAACTGACCAGGTAGTAGTAGGAGATGCAGAGACAGGTCTGTGAAGCAGAGAAGCCAAGGGCCAACGGAGAGGTTTGGGTAACACGATGAGTTCCAATCTGGCCACAAAAAGCGGGGCTGAGGAGGAACTATATCCCGTTGCTGAGACTAAGGGGGGAATGGGGTGTTGGCATTGGAATGTGAGAATAAGAAGTACAATCTTTCAAAGATGAGCCAGCCTGAAAAGAAATCCTTTGTCTATATGGTAGAAGGGAGTTTTCCCCTTTCGCATGGAGAAAGTCAAAAGCATTCCCTTCTGGAGATTTGGAAGTTAAATATGACCAGGTACTTGTCATGACTGGGGAAGGGCATGAGTCTTCCTGTCCGGTTGTTGAGATACAGAGGGAATTCCTGGAATTGGCCCGTTGCTTATTGTTTTGGAGCTCTGAGTCTTTAAAAGGTAAAGGTTCCCTAGCTCGAAAGCCAGTCGAGTCCGACTCTAGGGTTCCGGTGCTCATCTCCGTTTCCAAGCCGAAGAGCCGGCGCTGTCCGAAGACGTTTCCGTGGTCATGTGGCCGGCATGACTAAACACCAAGGCGCACGGAACGCTGTTACCTTCCCACCAAAGTGGTCCCTATTTATCTACTTGCAATGTCTTGCTTTCGAACTGCTAGGTTGGCAGGAGCTAGAACTAGAGACGGGAGCTCACTCCGTCATGCGGCACACTTGGGTCTCGAACTGCTGAACTACCGGCCTTCCACAGCCTGCAGTTCAGCGTCTTAACCCCTTGAGCCACCGCAGCTCCTCTCTGACTTTAATTAGGACCAAATTATCTGCTGAAAGGCCGTGAAGTCCTTGGGGGGAAATGGCACTCAAGTGAATCCCTCTTAGGATGGGCATTTGCATGATTCATAGAGGAGCTGCCCTGCATTCCTTTCTGCCTTACTGCGACCCACTGCCTTGCCTTTTGGTGTCAGTTTAATTCCAGTTCCTTCTATCTTTCCTAGGCCCACACGGAAGTGTACACGTGAACAGAAAAAGGGGAATGAGCTATGACAGATGTGGGGGTCCCCGGGGCGTGAGGGATTTGGGGGCATCAGAACGTTCCCACTCTTGCTGTGGACATCAGAAGAGAACTGTGTGGGAAGCAGGATCTCCTTCCCCTTGGGCGTGTGCGGTGGCTCTGAATGAAGGTTTAGCACAGGCACAGAGCCCACGAAGAAGAATCTCTGCCCGTACAATAACCAGAAGGTGGGGGTAGCCCCCTTGTGCACATTTCGCCATCCACATCTTCTGTGCACATTTAGGCATCCAGAAGATGGTTGGTGCCAGTGTTCCCTCTAAGCTGAGTTAGTGTGAGCCGGCTCACAGTTTTTTAGCCTCCGGCTCACACAACTTTGCATCTGCTCAGGAAGGATGCCTCCAGAGCAAACTAATTGATGCAGTAGCCAAATGGCTCGCTCACAGCTTTAATTTATTTACCTATAAATGAGACAAATAAAATAAATAATGCCGGTCGCTCGTGAAGTAGAGTTTTTGCTCACAAGTCTCCACAGCTTAGAGGGAGCATTGACCCCAGGTTTGACCTGGAGGCTGGCATTTCTACTCACCAGGTGGAGTTAAGCTGAGGGAGTGTGAGCCAGCTCACAGTTTCTTAGCCCCTGACTCACACGTATCTGTCTTGGCTCAGGAAGGAGGGCTCCAGAGCAAACTAATTGATGCAGCAGCCAAATCGCTGGCTCACAACTTTAATGCCAGGAGCTCACAAAGTAGAATTGTTGCTCACAAGACTCCACAGCTTAGAGGGAACATTGGTTGGTGCTGTCACTATTTACAGTACTAATTATCCGTCTCAGAGGTATGGCGTACTATTTAGTGTCTTCATCTCTGCAGGAAGAGATGAAGATTGTTGCAGCCAACAATGCTGACCGTTGCTTCCTGATCCAGAGTTAGAAACAGTGCCTACCTGTGTTCCCTCTAAGCTGAGTTAGTGTGAGCTGGCTCACAGGTTTTTTTTTGCCTCCAGCTCACAGTTTTGTCTTTGCTCAGGGAGGATGGGCTCCAGAGCAAACTAATTGATGCTGTAGCCCAATCGCTCGCTCACAACTTTGATGCCAGCAGCTCACAAAGTAGAATTTTTGCTCACAAGACTCCACAGTTTAGAGGGGACATTGGTGCATACAGGCCCCAAGTGCTGCTGCCAGAGAGCTAGCACTAAGAACCACACATACACCAACATTTTTGCACATCTTATTCCCTATATGCTAGGGAATTTGTGCACAGAACCCTGCTCCCCTGTGTGTATCACTGTAGCTCAGGGGTCATTTCGTAGAAAAAGAGGTGCAGGAGCTCATTAGCATAACTTATTTGCATATGCCACACCCCCTGACATCACTGGAAGTGTGTCAGAAGGCAACAGCCACCACCGCTCAGGCTCCACTGGACTGTTTTGGATTGCTAGCTGGGGGGGGGGGGGGACGTGCAGATCTGCCGTCGCAGAGGAGGGAGAGCTTGTGCCTGAATAAAACTTGGTCTTAAAGGTGCCACTGGGCTGTTTTGGATTGCTAGCTATGGGGGGGAAGGGGAATGCACAGATCTGCCCTCAAAGAGGAGGGAGAGCTTGTACCTGAAGGCAGGCCGGGGAGGGGGCTCTGCCACTTACCTGGCTGCTTCTTGCTCCTCGTGACCCAACTGGGGGCTGCTGGGAGCAGGGGGTGGGGCTTGTTGCATGTGCCTGCCCCCTGGGCTCCTTACTGCCAGAGCTCCGCTCCTGTGCGCTTCCGCAGGAAATGATCCCTGCTCTAGTTAGACTGGAGTACCTTTTGCATCATATCCTTGGGGCTTAGGAATACCAGCATCACTGTGGGACTACCAGAACAGTGTTGATTTTGCTCTTTTCTGCCCCTTCCCTTTTCAAATTCCACAGGTCACCACAGACCTGTATCAGGTGTTATCAGCCAACAACTATCAGCTAGAATGCAGAGGAGTTGTTAAGGTTAAAGGTAAAGGAGAAATGACCACCTACTTCCTAAACGAAGGCCCTTCAGCAAGTTAGCAGCAGTGGACTAGACTGACTCAAGGATGGCTCAATTGATTCACACACAGGAGTAAATCGGTGAAAAATCCACTGTTTAGCGGTGAACCTAACAAGGCACAAGTTGAGTATTTCATGCGATGCCTTTCAAGCAGGATTGTGTGGAAGAAGAAAACCAGCACCACCGTTTGGGCTGTCTATCACACCATTCAAAAGTTACCTAGCACTGCTGTGCATTGAGTGCGAATGAACTGACCAAAGATTTATCCTTATGGAATTCAGAGATGAAAACAAGGATTTGAGATCTTCAATGACGCTGCTACGCAGGACATAAGATATTTAAGTATTTATTTAAAGTAACACAATATTTTTACTTGGTTGACGGAAAGTATGATTCATTGTAATGGAAGGGGAAAAAATTAACAGCATTTCTTTGGCAAGGGTGTACACTCTCATACTATTTCTGGTTCGTGCTGTCAGCTCCTTGAAGTGTGCCACTGTTCTTTTACGAGTTCTTTTGAGTGGGCTTTTAAAATTAAAAAGTATTGCCCACTACTGCCCCATACAGAGGGCCTTTTGTAATGACGTCATCCATGACGTTTTTAAATGGAAAAGATGCCTTGCCTGTCTACTCTTACACTTAACACACGTAGGAGGCTTATTTTTTAAAAAAAAATCAGGAGGGGTGGATGGTAGAAGGGGAAAACGCTTAAAACGAGGAAAATACGATTCTTCAAACCTATTTCTTAAATAAAAAAAGATCGTCCTGCCCATATGGCATCTGTCCGTTTACATGTGGAAGACTAGCTGTCAGCACGAAATACTTGGAGGGAGATCCCTCCAAAGCTGGTGTGTGGGGCTTTTTTATATTTTGTAATCTAGAAAACACTGAGATCTAATAGATATACCAAAATTCTATATTTTGAAAATTATATATATTAGTTGTCTGCATGAGGCTCTGATGCAGCGTTGTGTGGAAGGGGGGGAGGTGCACCCACATCTCACAACTTACTTAAGCCGTTTCTATCCGATATTCAGCAGGGCAGGAACAGGGAACACAGTGTCGCACCCCCTTCCTCCCTGCAGATCAATGTCCAACATGGAAATCCTTTTCTATGTTGAAACGTTAGGGGGGGGAAAGGAAAGGGGTGTTGAAGCGGAGCCCAAACACCCTCTTTCCTTCCCCTAAGCCGACCAGGGCTCTGAGACTCCGCTTGTGCTCACTCAGCTCCAATGGCTTCTCGAGTCCAGCGGCAGCTTTCTGGCTGTGCTCACAGTCCTTTAGGTTGGGGAAGGAGGATGTACACACAAAGGCATTCGGGGAGGTGTACATAAGCTATAAAATGGTGTGATGGTCTCCCCCCCCCCTTTTCATTATTCTCTGAACTACAGACTTGGCAGTTTTCAGAAAAACTATATATAGTCCAACAAAAAGGGAGGGGCTCAGAAAGTGAAATTTGTAGTAGAAATCATGGAGGTTTGTCTTTGATTAAACAAACAGGAAAAGAAAACCAAAAGCGATCATTGCTGCAGAAGTTTTCGTTTACAATGTGGCAGTAACTGCGTGCCAGAGATTAATGGTGTGCTCAGAATCCTTAAACTTGTCATTTGTCAAAAGTATTATGACAAAAGCCACTTCCAAGTATTCATGATCTATAGCAAACAAGGAACAGCAATCAGCTAAATCAGCTCTTTTTGAAAGACTGTTCATTACTTACGAGTACCATGGGATACTCTACCTGAATTGTTGGCACTCTTGGATTGAGGTTATGAGAGTGAAATTCCATTAGTTAATCCACTTAGCATGGATTTCAGTTTGAAGATTTAGTCAATGTTTTTCGTAAGAAAAAAAAAAAGATGAATCCATTTGAAGATATTGCACCTACCTTGCTGAACAATTCTGGTTGTTGTTGTTTTTAAAAAAGGGAATTTGTTAATAAACATCTGAATGGGTTAAAACATTTTTAACTTTTAAACACAAAGTCCCCTTCCTATTTTATTAAAAACAATAAAACATTTTTTAGAAAACTATATTTTTATATTCTATCAGGACAAAACTTTTGATAGCAAATCTGGCTTTCTCTAAAACGATTCAAATTTTAATAATGCTCCCGCCTCCCTTTCTCTGGGCAGAATTTTCATAGCCTAAAATATGCCCGACGCTTCCAATGCTGAAGGCAGGGGTTTGTGTTTCTCCGTAACCAAGAAATAAATTTGAGTCTAGGATCTTAAAATTTTTTTTGTCACACTGCTCAACACCATTGCAGCCTGAAAGTGCTTTAAAATGGAGCTTCCATGGAATTCACTTCCCTTTCCACTAGGGCATATCTTGGAAGAGTATAATTGTGTGAATTCTGGAAAACTGCCAAGCCTGGCCTTGTACTATACTTTTGACCCTTTTTTTTTTTTTTGAAGTGTCCATTTTGCAAAGGTCTTTACTTCCACAGTACTGGAGCTTCTTCTTCTTCACCTTCCACTCTTCACCTTCATTTACCACTTCCTAATTTTATTTACTATCACCACATAGGATCATAACTAAAAATAGGTTTACCCCCTGCTTTGAAGTGTGCATTCTTAACATTTGAGCAGACCGCCTTGCGCGATTGTGTTGTCGATGAAATTTTCGGTCGCCTGTATCTCTGACTGTGATTGTTGACTGTGTCATGATCATTTCAAGGGGTATGCACTCTTTATTCTGGTTCTTGCAAAAATTGATACAGTTATGATTTCCCATGGAAATTGCAATCTGTTTAAATAATTTAACAATTATATTAAACACTGTTTCACTTGTGAATGTGTCAGTTTTATTCATTATATGTTGGTTTTTAAAAGACCAGAAAACATATACAACAAAACACAATTTTAAAATTGAAACACTTTTGGTTTAAAGATGAGTTAAGGCAATTACAAATCCACTTATGCTCCAGAAGACATGGAACTTTTAAATTATGCCTCTCACCATAATTGCTACACTATGTGAGCAACACTGACATTTCAACTCTCTCTTACAACTAAGGCTCCAAGCAATTACCTGCAGTCTCCCTTATTCTTTTAGTTCCTGTATTACAACATCAAACTTGTGGTCATAGCACTCTAAATGTTTAATAAGGATTTGGTTTCACATCAATATTAATGACATGGAACGCTCATTTGAAGGAATTGGCTGTAACAACAAACACTGCAAATTTGGGGGGAAATATACACAAACAAGAAAAGTGCAAAATTGCTCAGAGCCCAAGATGTATGCAACCACAAAATCTCAGTCTGTACATCTGTTTGGCTTATCAGGTGCATAAACTAAGGTGGCAATTTCAGTTTGCAGTTTCCATTCTTTCAGGTGTAGGCATGAATGGTGCCTTAATTCTTCCCATAAACTAAAGATTTTTAAGTTCCAAATTTCCTTGATTCTTTTGAAATGGAAAACCTCTGATTTATAGGAACCCTCAATGTTGGGGTAAGCATGTGTGGCAACTTTTTCCCCTTGACTTTCCACAGAAGTGCAAAAACACAACTGCGCTGCCATGAAACATCAACATTTAAATTTGGGTTTCATGTGCAAATCCATCCCCTTTTTAAATTAATAAAAACGTTGATGTGCCCTAGATTGCTACTTCCTCTTCCGCCCAAAAAGCATTGTTTTTCCATCACGGAAGGTTAATTTTGAAGGGCATTTTTTTTTTAGCTTGAGCATTTTACGCCACAGGAGAGCTCAGCCTTGTGCCATACTCAAGTGCAAAGACTAATCATGTGCAACAACATACAGACTTCCTTGTGGCCCAGTTGAGCAACGCAATGCAATGTACCCAGATGGACACCTGAACCTGTTACCTGCCTATGCACAGGGTCTCCCCTTCCATACATATATGGATCGTCTTTACGACATTGTGATGGCAGGTCTTTTCCATTTGACAGTATGGCAACTCAGCCTGTACATTCCTGGGAAACAAAAAAATGCTGAAATAAACTGGTATTATGAAATTCATGCACGAGGCTTCTTGTCAACAGTAGCAGCTAGAAATTGCCCCAACAGCCAACAAATCTCTTTACTAAATTACTTTGTAATCCAGCACTTGAAATCTTTTAAGTCAACGGGACTTAAGACAGGTATAACGCCCAGCTCATCGTGTTGTTTTGTTCAAAGATAAACAAATGAAACCGCCAACTTTCATCTGTGGTTTGGGTGCCTTCACTGGTAGAGCAAATATACTTGCAGCTGTAACCATATTCTAATACTTCCAGCCATGTGCATGACATTCAAGAGGAAAATGTAGAAGTTATTGGTGAAAGCAGGGGTCGTTTCGTAGAAAAAGAGCCAGGGGAACTCATTAGCATAACTCATTAGCATATGCCACACACCCTGACATCACCGGAAGTATGTCATAAGGCCACACCCCCTGAATGCACTCGCCTGCTTTGGGAGAGGGGATCAAAGTGTAATACAAGCCTCCTCCGAGACTTGATCACACAAATCTCAACTCTCTCTTGGGTCTTGATGCCTGCCAGTCATTCCCCCTGCCTGGGGGAAGCCGCGTTGGACCAAAATACAGTCCAAAGTGCTGTAAGGAACACCTGTCCACCCTGAGCACTTACAGGGTGCGTCAAATCGCCATTTTACCCCAACCGGAAGCAGGGGGCGGGGCTTCATCGTGTGCCCCGCCCCCCGCACCTCACCTGGGGGGGACGGTGATCCCCCCCGAATCGACCCCTGGGTGAAAGCCATGGGGGTTGATCTAACCCTAGCCCTAGTTCATACTCTGCTCTTCATCCAAAGGGTTCCCAGGTGGACTCTGTGCAGTTTAACTTCTCCCAGGGGGACTTAACTGTGACTGACTTCTTTGGCTGGGGCTATGATACCTAGGAAGTACATTTCCTTTGCCTCTCCTCAACTTTTGGGAGGCTAATGATTACCATAGTTACTCACCACTGTGTCACTAGTTATCTTTAGACATTCCTCATCGTTATCCAAAACTCTTAATAGCCAGTTCTCTTCACATTGCCAAATGTATGTATGTGATCATGGACATGAATGCAGTTGAGGGCTGTATTCACTAAGCTCCAATCAGATACTACACAGGTTCACGCAGTGCTATGAAGATGTTTTAGTTAATATTTTATACTTGTTGACAGTTATATTTTGGTGCACCTAGGGAAATAAAGCTTATTCCGCTCACGAAATAATACTGGTAAATGGGAAAGCCCTCAGAGTACACCAGGAAACCTGGGGCTCTTGCCAACAGAGATTATATTGTATAAGCTCTTCGGTCTTCTTAGAGAGATAAGTTTTATACACTTTGAAACCTAGATTCTCAACTGGAGCCTGGCTTTCACAAAATGCTGAGGTTGTTAATGTTTTTTCGAGAAAGTTTAGTATGGCATCTGCATGCCCAAATATGAAATGAACATGACTAACAACCCAAAAACCCAACAGATATGGTTCTGGAACTGTGTTCCTTGAATGCCAGCCTCACCACCACCAGCCAAGCCACACAGCAAAGAGAATCATTCAAGTCCCCTGACTTGGATGGCCCAGCTGGCCTGATAATCAGATATCAGAAGCTATGCAGGGTTGGTCCGGGTTAGTACCAGGGTTGCTATGCAGAGGAACGTCTCTTGTCTCAAAAACACTACAGGGTCACCATGAGTTGGCTGCAACTTGCAGCACTTCCCACAGCCATACAATTCAAGTCGCTCACGTTCTTGCTGCAAGCATACAGGCTGGGTAGTGGCTGCCTGCTCAGTGCAAACCACTGCAACTTCCACCCTCATTGTAAGACATCAAGCACCACAGTACAGAAAACCAGTTACACACAAAACAGAGCTTTTCCCATTCACCCAGTGTACTAGCACTGCCACCTAGTGGAACTTGGATATATCATAATAAAAGCAGACCAGGATTTCAAAGGATTAGGAGGCTCAAGATGTGGGTTGACTTGAGGGTGGGTTTACTTATTTTGGAAATTAGAATCTCAATGGCTGAACAATCTGAGTTAATGTACAACATGAGCATACTCAGGATCTCTTGACAGTTCAGGGCGTGGGGGTCTGAATTCTACAAGGAGGCTCTCTACAAAGTGGTTATCCAATGGACTATAATTAACAGACGTCCACCCACCTGCAGTACACTCTGAGCTCATGGTACACCCAGTATTAACTAGATTGGGCACAGGAGCTTCGTTACATTAACCATAAAGGCAACAGCAAAGAAATAAAAACATCCCTTAAGCAACAAGCCTGTGCTGCTCAGGATCTTCTCAGTGGACCAGTCAACAAAGAAAACGTTTCTTGAAGCAGGTGGCTTGAAAACCCCTGTTCTAACACAACTCTTTTGAGATTATCCCCTTTGGAAGCCAAATATTAGACCTTATAATCAGGAACTGTGCAGTTATTCAACGTATACAAAAGTCCTCTGCTGGAATTTTTTTTACTGTGCCCCTGCAGTGTATGCCACCTGGTTAAACAATTGTGTTCTACCCTAGTGTACAGTTTGGCCTCCTAGAAATGGCTGAGAGGCTTCCAAATCTTATGACTAACTTTTGATTTGGGATGTCTGTGAATAGCCAGAAACTTATTCAGTCTTCACACATACCCCAAAGGTTTTTGAATGTTTAGAGACTCCTCCAACTACTTTTGTAGGAAAGACCGGCCTTCCAATTCTTTTTAATATGCCAGGCACAATCCAGGAAAAGCTAAACACTCACACCCGGCATTTTCAAGCATTTGTATGGAATACTATACAATGTTTGAAAACTTCAGTCCACTTTTTGCACAAACAAACGCTGCTTAAGAACAGAGATTGCAAAATGGCCAAATTGCACTTCTCAAAGCAAATAAGTAGTTGTAGCATATTCTATAAAGGAAGCACTTGCGTTTCCTAAAGACGCATATGCCATAGGTTCCTGCCCAATTGTGGTAGGTGAAAAAACTGCATCTTCTCATCTAATTTCTTAGGCTGCGTGTCTCTTCCTACACCAGATCCGCTGTGTACAAACACACATTCCAGTGATCAAAAGCTATCCATTTCCTGTCTTCCCAAACTGGGTTCTTAATCTCATTCAAACCAGAATGGCTCAAGAGGAGGCTCTTTCCCAATCAGGCTAGTCCACTGCCTGCATGAGGCCCAGCTTCTGCTATTATCTCACATCAAAGAGAGAAGAGAAGGAAACCTCTTACATTTACCCTATCCCCTCCGTCTTCTTCCCAGCCAACCTCTTTTCATCTTTCAAGCATTAGATCAAAGGTCTGAAGTCAGAATGTGATGTTATTGGGGGGGGGGGGGGTGTAAGGAAACTGTCTTCTACCACA